CCATGATTTCTTGGCTAAGACTCTAAAGTCACAAACAAAATAAATAGGATTTCATGAAAATTTTAAAATGTGCACTAATAGTATCAGCAAAGGACAATGGCAAGCCACAGAAAGGGGAAAAATATTTGCAAATAATGTATCTGATTAGGATTAGTACTTAGTACCCAATATGTAGAGAAGTAGAGAACTCTTTTTTTTTTTTTTTTTTTTTTTTTTTTTTTGTACCACAGATCAAACTCAGGACTTTGTCCTTGCAAGGCAGGTGGCAGAACCACTGAGCTAAATCTCTGGCCCTGTAGAGAACTCTTAGAGGACAAAGAGCTGGGCATGGTGGTGACCCCAGCACCCTGGGAGGCTAAGGCAGGAGGCTCCAGAGTTCAAGTCCAGCCTGGCAATTTGGCAGCTCAAAAAGGCCATCAAAAAACAAACAAACAAAACAAAGAAAACAAAACAAGCAAACAAGAGGGCTGGGGATGTAGTACAGGGCAAAGCCCCTGGGCTCAATTCCCAGAACTGGAGAAAGAAACTAAAAGAGCAAAGACCTTGAATAGACTTGTCTCCAAAGACGATACCCAGCCCACCCATAACCACACGGAAGGAGGCAGAGAGCCGGGAATCACTGTGGAAATGCAGCTCCGGGCGGAAGGGGCCACTGCATCCCACCCACCCCACAGTACAGGACGCTGGGGCTGGGGCTCGTTGCCAACTGTGTACTCCCCCCATGCAAGGGCCTGGGTTCAACCCCAAGTGACCCCCGCACAAAGAAGAGAGCTGGCAAGGACTTGGACCACTTAGAGCTCAGGTGCACCCCTGGGAGGAATGGGGCGTGGTGCCCGTGTTGGTTATTTGTCTCTCTTTCCTGAGGCAAAATATGGGACACCCAAAGGTAATGGGGAAAAGGTCTATTGGGCTCACAGTTCCTAGAGGTAGAGGCTTCAGTCCATAACTGGCTGGCTCCGAGGCGGGTGACAAACAAGCAACAGTTCATGGTGGCAGAAGACAGCAAAAGCAATAAGAGGCCTTAACAGCATCTTTCTGCCCCTTTTGTCCCAGTTAGACTACCAGGATGAGGGCGGGGCCAAAGCAATAACTCAGGGTAGTTCTCACATGCCCTTAATCGCAGCATCACACACTTGAGATTCAGCCTCCTCTGGAAAAGAAAGCCCTGCCTCATCTGGGAGGCTTTGGGGGGACTTCTAAGCACAAGCCGTAACCGAGCCATTTTTCTGGGTGTTCCTCGGAAAATTAAACACAGAATTTCCATAGGATCCAGAAATTCCACCACTTCTGGAAAACAAGGTCTCCAAAGAGATGTCCTGATGGGCTTCCAAATTCATACCAGTATTGTCCATCTGAACAAAAATGTGAAATCAACCAACATGCCCTCCTTGCACAAGTAGAAAAGCAAAACGTGATGGAGTACTATCCAGCCATGAAAAAGGAACCCCTGCCATCTGCTACAATATGGATGGCTCAAGGATAGGCAGAGAGTGGAATTCAAGCCAGCAGGAGACACAAACTGTTGCAGGAACAATACACCTGTCTGGAGCCTCAGAACCAGAAACCAGCCTGAACTTCAATGGAACTAAAGGGGCAGACAGGCCTGCTGCAATTCATGTACTCAGATCTCGACTGTGTCTCCCACGTTGCCCACCCACAGCCTTGAATTGTACTTTTTTTTTCTTTTTTCTGATTTTGTTTTTGTTTTGCTTTTTATTGACTGTTCTTGTTTGTATATGACTATGAACATGGTTTCCAGTTTTTTTGTTGTTGTTGTTCTGCTCTGTTCTTGTCTTTATTTCTTCCCTCTTTCCCTCCTGTCTTCACTACTTTCCTAAAATTTGCATGATCTTCCTTGGTCCTCCAGCCTTGCTTTTACTCTCTTTCTCTTCTTCTATTTCTCTATCCTGCACCCCCGCTCACAGTCCCTTTTAAATCTCCTCAAAGGGTAAAATGGCCATATCAAGGGCTTATTTACTGCATATAATTTTCTGGTTAGTTTTAGATTTTGTTATTGAATAGTTCATAAAGGTGGCAAATTAATAATTGCCACAGTTTGTCATTTTCTAGGCTGTGTCGGATGCCACTGTTACGGCTGATTGTACTACTTTAGCCAGTGTGACATAACTGCGATACACAATCGTTCCTCGTGGTATAGGAGATTGCCCAAGGGCCTTAAAAACACCTAGTACAGGGCCAGGGATGTAGCTCAATGGTTCCACCACCTGCCTCACAAGCACAAGGACCCAAGTTCGATCCCCGGTCCAAAAAAAACAAAACACCTAGTACAGTACCAAAGAAGCGGGGAGACAAGAAGGCAGAATCTCCTCATCCCCAACAAACTGAACAGGTAGGACCTTGCAACAGACTCAAAGCTCACAAGCCAGCTACACCTGGAAGACATCCTTAAGATGTTTGGAATAATGGCAATAAAGCTACTTGCCATAAGCAATTTATGAGTATCAACCCAGGCTTTTTTTTTTTTCTTTTTTTTTTTTTTTGGTACGGGGGATGGAACTTAGAACCTTGTGCTTGTGAGGCAGGTGGCAGCACCACTGAGCTACATCCCTGGCCCAAGAATTAAATTTTTTAAAAAATCAGAAATGAGAAGACACTTAAATAAGATGCAAACCTCCCCCTAGACTTTCAGCAACCCTGGGGGTGGACTGATCCCAAAGCCACCCACCCAGACTCTTCAGTGCTAACGGCAGAAGTAACAAAGCAGATGAAGAAGGGCCGGGATTTAGCTCAGTGGTTTCACTGCCTGCCTCGCAATCACCAAGGACCTGAGTTTGATCCCCGGTACCCAAAAAAAAGCAGATAAATGAGGAAGTTGATTCATAGAGATGAGGGTAGAAGGGCAGCTGCCAGGGCCTGGGGCAGGGGCTGGGAGAAAGCACCCCTCATCCAATGAAAGAGCACTGGCAAGGGACAGCAGTCATGGTTGTACAACATCATGAATGTATGCTTTATTTTGTGATTGTTTCTCTAATGCTAGGGATCAAACTCTGGGCCTCAAGGAGGCAGGGCAAGTGCTTTAACACTGAGCTACACCTCCAGTCACCTCCAGTCCCACGAACGGACTTACTGCCACTAAACTGTACACTGAGAAACAGTGGAGTCAGTAAGCTTGTTTTTTGTTTTTGTTTTTGTTCTGGGTACTAGGTATTGAACCCAGGGCCTTTGCACTGAGCTACATCTCCAGCCTATTTTTCATTGTTTTACTTTGAGACAGAGTCTCACTAAGTACAAATAGCTAAGTAGCCCAGGCTGGGCTGGAATTCGTGATCCTCCTGCCTCAGCCTCAGACTGCTGGGATTACACAAGTGGGATCACCAGGCCAGGTGAAGTCAGTAAACGCTGTTTATGTGAATTTTTTTTAAAATCTGGGACAAAATTTAATATAGAAATATTATATATGAGAAGGGAATAATTCAAATAATAAACTCTTATTCCATTAAAACAAATAAGGAAGGGGAATAGGGAAAAAAATAATCAAGGTACATTATGCAGCAGTACAAATTTTCTACGATGAATGTGATCATTATGTTTATCAAAAGTGCGCCAAAAGAATTAATTAATTTTGGACTGGGGATGTAACTCAGTGGTTCCACTCCCTGCCTCACAAGCACACAGACCCAAATTTGATCCCTGGCACACACACAAAAAAAATCCCAGCCCCGAAATTAATTTTTAAAAAAGACAAAGAAATCAATGGAAAAGTAGGCCAAGGACCTAAACACTAAACAGACTTCTCCCAAAGCTGCACGTCAGGCATAGGCACATGGAAAGATACACAACATTATTACCAAATAAACACAAAGCAAATCTACCATGAGACATGGCTCACACCCACCAGCCTGGCCATCACCAAAAAGCCAACAAGCTGCCAGCTGCTGGTGGGAGGGACGCTAGCATCTTCCAAAGGTGACTCAGCAGGTGAGCTGATTCTTCCCATCCTGCATGTCTTCCTGGGCTGCCTCTCCAACCTGCAGCCCTACAGCTGCAGATCAAGCCCCAGGTGTCCAAGTTCCCCTTCAAGAACAAAAGAAGGTGCTCCATTCACTGCTGCTATTGGTTCATTAGAAAGACAAGGCCCACAGGCCAGGGGGTTTAGCTCACAGGCCCATGGTCCCAAGTTCATCCCCAGTGCAAAAAAAAAAAGAAATTGGTGGCCACCAGTGATTAACTCAACTCTAGGTCCTCCCCAGATCCCTAGAGATCAGAGGGGTTTGAAAGTTCCAACCTCTGACCCATTGCTTTTGTTGCTGTTGTTTGGTTTTGATTTTCTGACCCAGGCTGTCTTTCAACTCTTGGTGATCCTCCTGCCTCAGTCTTCCAAGTGTGCTGAGATTACAGGCTTGTACCACCACACCCTACACATGGCTCAACCCTCAGCTGTCTTAACCAGGAGCTTGATTTCAACGGATTCCCAGGGTTTGAGGAGCTCAGTGACAGACAGCAGACTTTCCTATCACACTTGCAAAACCAATTCAAGTGAGCCACTGCAAATCACAAGTTGGACACTTTAATAGATGAAATGTAAGGTCTGTGAGCTGCATGCCAACACAAGGAGTACAAAGGAGGGGAGGTGCCTGTGTCCAGAGGATAAAAGTACAAATCTTAGGAGAAAGGAGATAAGCAGCAAGCAGTGCAAGGCATGGTAAAGATGAGCCTGAAGCAAGAACAGCCCCCTCTAGGCCTGAACCAACCTATGGCCCAGAGGCACAGCTCAGCTTCCAGGATGGGACCCAGAGCCGGAGGAGCCAGAACCTGCTGGCCCTCCACTCAGAAGAAAGAGCTCCAGTGACAGTGAAGGGGCTGTGATCTCCAACCCACCTCAAACCCTCAAAGTCCCAGCCTCCTACAAGCTGGTCCCAGAGAAAGAATTTTCCCCACCTGGAAAATTCTCAAAGATCCTCCTGGACCAGCGGCCTGCAGCCTGGAGAGGGTTGGGATGGGGAGCAACCCCAGACACAGCGTTCAGCCAGTCACCCTACCTTCTGGTGGCAATGCTGCAAGGTCTGGAGAGTAAGAGCTTGGGGCTGGTTCCAGCGGCCTGGGTGGAGACCCAGTACCTTCTCCTGGGCCCCCTGGAGGCCGCCAGCCTGTCAAGCGGCACAAGGCCAACAGCCCGGGCAAGCTTCATCCTGCGCACTCCGGCCAGGGGTTCCCCAGCTCCCTGCGGCACAAGGCATGAAGCTCTGCCGGACGCTCCCAGGCCAGCTCAGTGGGGAAAGCCCTGCTCCGGAGCAGCCAGGCCTCTACCACAGACAAGCTGTGAGACTGGCTTCTGGTTCAGGGATGTGAGGAATTCCAGAAGACCTGAAGTCACAGAGCCTCAGGCTCTTTTCTAAGCAAATGAGAGGAAGCCAGGGTGAAGTGTGACCTGTCAGTGGGCGGGAGGACAAGCGTCCCAGAGCCCTTCTCCCAGGCCTTCCCCACTCCTGACCTCCTCGGCTCTGCTTCCATCTGGGCCAAGAGGTTGGCGGCACATGGCAGCCAGCAGGCCTGGACGGCTGCCAACTGGCACAGAGGTCCTGGTCTGGCAGAGGCCACAGGGCGGAGGGAGGTTCCTGGGGTGGAGTTCCTCAGCCGGTTCTGCCTTTTACTCTTTACTGTGAAGAGTATCAAAGGCTACTGGGGGAGCGGGAGCCACCCAGGGAGGAGGGAATGAGTCCCTTCCTTCCGGAAGCCCCTAAAATCCATCAACCCAGGCCCCTCTGATTTCTTCTCTGCTCCCCTTGCTCCCCAAGTCAAGATTGTTTTGCAGACAATTCACATAGCGCCCAGAAAGATTTCAGCACTCCTAGAAGACAGCCTCGTTGTAAAAGAAAACAACAAACAGTCCAGGTGCAGGCACACGAGTCTGTAAGTCTCAACTACTTGGGACGATAGCTCAAGAGGATCCCTTATGCCCAGGAGTTTGAGCCTGTCCCTAAATAAATAAAAATACCAGGCCGTGATCCCAGCTGAAATAATACAAACCCCTTAATGTCAAATAGCAAGTGACTGTTCACATTTCGATTCACCAGGGCTACAAGCTAAGAGCTCAAATGAAGAGATAAACCAGCCACAATTTCCAGGGAACAGAAGACATCTGGGTGACACAGAGACAGGCATGCAACACACAGGGTGAGGCTCACGGGCACTGCGCTGAGTAGGACTCCATCAACTGGAAATCCCAGCAAAGGCAAAGCTGTAGTGATAGAAAGCAGACCCAGCTGCAGAGGCCAGCAGTGGGGAGGGAAATGACTGGCAAGTGGCCGAAAGGGACATCTTGGGTAATGGGGTGTTCTATGTCATGATCGGGTAGAAACCTGCACAGGTGTACACATCTGTCAACACAAGGGAGCTGTGCATTTAAAAGAAGTCTATTAATCAGGGTGCACGGGTGTGAACCAGTAATCTCAGAACTCTGGAGGGCTGAGGCAGGAGGATTGAAAGTACAAGCCCAGCTTGGGCAACTCAACAACTTAAATGAGATCCTGTCTCAAATAAAAAATAATAAAGGCTGGGGAGGAGACTGGATGTAGCTCTGTGCAAAGGCCCTGGGTTCAACTCCCAGTAGCACCAAAATAAGCACATAAATAAAATGTGCACTTTGCTGGGCATGCTTGCATATTCCTGTATTCACAGCTATTGGAGAGAATGAGAAAGAAGAATCCCAAGTTCAAGGGCAGTTTAGGCAATTTAGAAAGATCCCGCCTCAAATAAAAAGGAAGGCTGGGGATACAGCGCAGAAGTAGAGTACTTGTCAACCATGTGCCAGGTTCTGTCCCAGCACCACCAGAAACATGAAATAAGTCTGTATTTGGCTGCCTCTCCTTGGAGAGCTGTTCCCATGCAGAAAGCACCTGTGACAAACTTCCCCGGTGGAGGCAGGTAGTCCGCATGAGGGGCACTCAGTGAAACAGTACCTATAAACGCAAGGGCAAGACACTGGTGTGGCCACCCACAGAGGGCTCCCTCAGGCCTGAAAGCATCCAGGGAGCTGGTCAGCTGCAGGTGCAAAGTTGGGAGGCCAATGAACACCCCAGAGAGAAGATGGGATGCAGGGCACACAGGCCTCCTCACCACAGGGTCTCCGCACCTCCACCAGGGCCCCACGCCCCACAGAGGAGAGGCAGCACCACCCACCTGCTCATGCAATGGTCCAGAAAACTAGCTGAATGTGGTGAATGTAAATCAGACTCGATTTCCACGAATTCCACAGTGAAGCCAAAGACGGAGCCCAAGGGGGAAAATTCAAAGCCCTTAACAGACTAAAGTTCACATCCACTTGACGAGTACGGAGCAGCACGACCCCAGACACTGGGCACCACCGAGGCCTTCATGGTGTACCTGATACAAACAACCCTGCTCTCTGGGACCGGCTGGAAGCACAGCCTCCAGAGCAGGGCAAGCACAATTGGCCTGCAGGTGTCACACACGTGCACCCGACAGGTGCCCAGGTCACAAGCGTGCCGGGCATCTCACCCCAAGTCTCCTCCACTGGCACGCTGAGGGCTGACCGCACCTCTGGCTAGATCAGAAGGACAAAGGAAAGATGACTCAAATGGCCTATCCACCCAGTGCTGGTTCTCAAAGTGTTACTTTGTGAGTTTGTGGCTCTAAGCAGCAGAACTGGGCCAGAGGTTTCAACCCTCACAATAAACCTAAGGCAGGCACTGTGCAGCCTGCCACTCACAGATAAGAAAACTGGGACTTCGAGGTTCCAGAGCATGCCTACAGCCACGCACAGCCTGCCAGAAAAAGGGCTGGGATGAGAACCCAGGCCGCTGGCCTCCTGGGCCAGTGTCCTAGTTCTCGTATAAAGGCCTTGCATTGGCTCACAGGGTGCGCTGCAGCCATCCACACTCAGGACCCACGAGAAAATGGGGGCAGAGGAAGGTGAAGCAGCAAGTGCCAAGCCATTCAGCCACCAAAGGGCAGAGCAGGGATCAGGTGCAGGCCCCCAGGCCAGGTTTGCTCAGCTACCTGTAGCCACAGTGCCACATCTGCCTTTAAAGCCCCACCTGCTGGGGCATGGTGGTGCATGGCTGTAATCCTGGCACTTGAGAGACTGAGGCAGGAGGGGAGCCCTGAGTTCGAGACCAGCCTGGGCTATGTAGTGAGTTCAAGGGCAGCATGGACTGGACTGCATACTGAGACTCTGCCTCAAAACAAACAAAACAGAAGGAAGGAAGGAAGGAAAGGAGGGAGGGAGGGAGGGAGCGAAAGAAGGAAGGAAGGAAGGAAGGAAGGACAGACAATCCTACTTTCCTTCAACAGTTTCCCATGATCACCCTGTGTGAGGTGGTGGGGACTTTGGCATCCTTGCCCTGCTGGATGGTAGGAAGGAAGGAAGGAAGGAAGGAAGGAAGGAAGGAAGGAAGGAAGGAAGGAAAGACAATCCTACTTTCCTTCAACAGTTTCCCATGATCACCCTGTGTGAGGTGGTGGGGACTTTGGCATCCTTGCCCTGCTGGATGGTAACCCCCAAATTTTCCACTCCACTTTCCCTCCCATGCTCCGTGCGGTGTCCAGTGAAGTCCTGTTAAATTCATGGCTTGGACATACTAGGCCAGGAGGCTCCTTTTTCACCGTGGGTGTCAGCTCACATGTCCTTAAAGGTCTCCGCACCCTACTACAGCCACTCTCCAGTGTCCTGGGGTTAGGTGGGGCCTGAGGGACCAGAGTGATCACACCCAGACATCCTGTTCACAGGTCCCTCAGCCCAGGAGAACACTTCGAGGCAATCTGCAATTTTTACTCAGAAACAGAGAGAGGCAGCCTCGTGGACACAATAAGGAAGAGGACCCAGAAACACACTTGTGGATGTTCAGAACTGTCTAAAACTGCACAAACCCCTTCAGCTGTTAGAGGATACTGGAAAACGCGATGTTAGACTGGCTAATCATCCTTGACAAAGTAAATATAAGCCAAGACTTCCAAGGGAAGGTGTACATTGTATTTGCCTTTTTTTTTTTTTTTTTTAAGACAGGGCCTAGTTACATGCCCCAGTCTGGCTTGAACTCCTGAACTCAAGTAACAGGATTACAGGGTTGCAGCACCACACGCAGGTCAATATTTTCCCTATTTGAGAGGCAGTGGAAAGAACACTGGATCAGGTGGGAGTTGCCCCAGAGCGTCTGGGAGGTGGAGGATCTTAGTGAGTTATTCAACCACAGCAAGAGAGCTGGAGGTCCCCACCATCTAACCTGGGACACCTGGGCAGACGAGTAAAAGGAGGCAGGTGCAAGGTCTTTGCAAACAATTAGATCCACCACCACCACCTCCAATAATCAGTGGTTCAAAGACCTGACTCCAGGCCTGTCTGTCTTCAAAGCACTGTTTCACAACTTGTTATTTCTGCCCTTGGGGCTCCAGTGAACAGAGACCGGACTTTCCAATTAGCAATAACAAGCAAATGGAGCCGGGCTCCCCCAAAGACTTCCCCTCTCCAGAACAGTCCAAACTGACCTTGAGGTCAGGAAAGGACCCCAGCCAAGCCAGAAGGAGCTGTGAGCAATGCACACCCACCCACACACACACTTACCGCTCTTGCTCTGTCCTGAGCCTTCCAGACAGACATCAACCTCACAGGAAATCCCTGCCTCCCCTGGATATGGCTTGGACCCAAGGTCAGTGTGTCGCCCAGCCTCCAGATGTGAGTGCTACCCCTAAATCTCTCATGGGGTGGGTGGCCCATCAGGCGGGCCAGACCCCACCGCAGGCCACAGTGCCTCACTCCAGGTCCTCACTTAGCTCAAACACGAACGCCAGATAGCCTCTGCTCCTGGCTCAGCCAGAGATTCAGCACAGTAACCTTGAGGCTGCCCTCTCCATCTCTTTAGGGAAAACAACCTCGCTCCTAATCTCCAGCTGCCTCCCCGGCCAACTAACATCTATCAAGACGGTACCCGCTGGAGGAAGGACGGAGAACGGTGTGCATACTGGAACAATCCTTTGCCTCTATTGTGTAAGATGTCATGGGCCCACTGGACCGCTCATTCTCCTTCCTGAGCAGCAGACTGAGAGGAACGGTATTATCTGTTCTAGCTTTGAACACCTGCTCTCCTCCCAACCGAGGCAAGGCACTAAAGGGACCCAGGTGGGTCTGCGGCCCTCTCTAGCAGGCGAGCCCAGTCACAGGCTCGCACGGCTCGGGGAACCTGCTCTGGAC